ATCGCTTATCAGAACAGAGAGCATGTTCCATATTTAAAAGGGCTTCCTGTATATCCTTTTTGCAATAAAAAAAATATATATATAGTTCTTAGCCCAGGGTAGATATATAACCTTGATTTTTACACATACATTTTTTTTATTTCCTATTTGAAATAAAAATAAAAATGTAGTTCTTAGCCCAGGGTAGATATTTGACCTTGATTTTTACACATGGGTCTGGGATGACCCAGAAGCAGAACAGACAAAATATGATTAAAGAAAACAAAAAAGCTAAAGAAAGTTTACAAAGGACAAAATATGCTGCAGGTGCAAGGTCTGTTGAACATAAAATCAAAGTGACAGGTAATCCAAGCATAAATCTAGGGAACAAATGAAAGGAAATAAACAGGAGGGGAGCATGAGAATGCGACAGCCTGGATGAACAGACACAATAACAAAGAGAACTGAGAAAGATAGGATTACAGTATGTATAAACGGGGCAACCACAAACAGATGGCAATATTTACCTCTGAGCAGAAAGGAGGCAATCTGGGGATGTTAAACGAGATATGACACGTACTGTAGACAAAAAAAAAAGGAAATGGGGGTTAAGGAGGCTAATTGTAAAACTGAGGATTTTGAAAACTGAAAGAGCAAACTGAGATGAACACAAGAAACCAGATAACTAATAAATTTGAACAAAGCCTTGGTACTTGTTAAACAAACAGTGCGAATATCAGAAAAGCTAACTTGAAGTGAGCTCTATGAAATGATCATGTATTAAACCAGACAAACGCTTTTTGATTGTTTTAAGTAATGAGGTGTGTTTATAAGGGAAATGCCTTTTTTCTGAAATAAATTTGATGAAATACCCTTGTACAGTGTTGTTCTACAACCACAATAAGCACACATTTTTTTTATTATTCGTATTTGAATATTTTATTTCTAACATAGGTAACTTGCAAATGCTGTTTACCATTTACACATTTTGTCTTGTGAAAACGACAAATTTTATTCAAATTGTTTTGTGTGGATTTATTATTAAATAACAAAAAAGTAGTGGATAATTTTAGAGGACATCCATTTATCCTACCATTTTCTTACACGCTTATTCCAAGTGGGGTCGACAGGTCGCCAGTCCATCGTAGATTTTAGAGGACATTGCTTTCCTTTTTTTTTTTTCACAATTAAAGCCTAACAAGTGTGCTTTTTAGCTATGCCACTAATTTGTTATTTTAATGACACTGCTTAAAAAAAAACCTTCTATGGCCTACTATATGTTGAGGCTTTACCTCCATTATAGTATTTATACTTTATAGAAATATTTCACCTGAAACTGGGTTCATTGCATCTCCTTTAAATTACAGTGTTGGGGTAGAGGTGGTGGGGGTAATTATCCTTTAAAAGCATTTTTCAACCTGTCAATTTCAGTGAAACTCCATTAATTGTGTCTAATGAGATCTCCAAAGCAAAGGATATTGTTTTCTTATATTTCTTGACCTTTCTTTTATAATTCTATAGAACAATATCATTCTAAGGTATACTGAGGTATTCTCAGATTTAATCATGATGGGATATAACAACAACATCATGTTGTTTAGTAAACAGCTGAGTTCTGAAGAAAGTTTTTTTTTTCTGGATAGCATGTGGGGATAAGATTTCTTGGAGGTTGAAAATTGGGATTTTCTTTCTTTTAATTCAAGGACCAGTACAATTGTAAATAGTGGCTTTTTTACTGTTTATTGGAAGTGTCTACCCAGTTTCAGTACCAGAGGAAATTAATGTTGGAGTGTCTGCAATGTAGTAAGGCCTGAAGTTTTGGTTTTGATCTGTTATCCATAGTTTTTAATGCAGGAAAAAGGGACAACTTTTTTTTTTTTTTTTTTTTTACTTTTTTTAGACATATCAACTTTAGAACAGCTTTCACTCAAGGCATGCAGTGGGCTGTGAAATGAAATGTTGATCCCATGAATATGAGTGTGTGTGTGTGTGTGTTTGTGGGGGGCAAAAGACAGGAATCCCTTTATCAGATTGACCAAAGAACCTTTTTTTATGTCAGCAATCATCCTGAAAGTGGCCCTGCAGTGCATGCCAAACTCAGTGAAAGTGAGTGAGGAAATCTCAAAGAAAAAAAGGTACATTTAAAGTATCATAAATCAGAAATGGGGAGGAAGAAATGACTGCTGAATGAAGGGAAGAAGAACTTAGTGCTGTCCCTTGCTTTAAGCTAAATTACCATGCGCAGTAGATCTCTTTTATGGCACCAGCGCTGTCCATGGTGCTGAAAAGTCGTGATTACACAAGAGGTAATGTTCTAGTTGGACGGCAGGAAGGAAGTGGAAATAAATCTTGGGGCAAAACTGAGATTTCAGCTAACTATTATGTGTTCACAGACTGGCAGGAACACCTTGGTGTAAGCCCTAAAGATGCTTGAAAGTGGCCCATTACCAAGGAAAACATATTGAGCTCCTTTATTAAAGCATGAAGCTTACAATTTAATCATGTTTTTCTTCTTAAAGTACAGCTAGTGAACCCAAAATGGTGGATTAAGGTTGTGCTGAAAGGTTGTTTAGGAAATCACTAAGTTTAAAAATGTAGATGCAGATGGAGGCAAACATTATTTTGGAATACATTAATATTCTATTGCAGTTACATCATTTAACACTGAACCAACCAGGGGAAAAAGTAAATCTTCAATCTGAGTAGTGGTGTTACAACTCATGTTACTTACACCCCCATAACTAATAAGACAGCACTCAGGCTTTTCCTATAACAATTTACAAGCTTGGAGTTGTACAGGGAGCATGTTTTGTTTCTGCTTCTTAAAAAAGTGATGCAAATACTACTTGTGGTTCCATGGCTGCCTTTTATTGGTAATTTGGGGTACTAATTAATTGTAATAAAAAGAAAAATAAACATAACTTGGGTTTAGAGAGAAAAGGCACAAGCAGCCCAAATGGATTTTCTGCCCTTGCACATTAAGAGGTACTTTGAAGAATAAGCTTTTAAAAGAGAGGTACAATCAGAAATTTTCAAAAACTAGTTTGCTTGATAACAACAAAACTAAAACAAGAATGTGTTATGCAGTTTCTTTCATGAGCTGCACCTGTTCTGTTTTTAAGTCTTCCCCAGTGACATTTAAGGTTCTGTTTTCTGTGCTTTACTTGTTCTCCTGCTCCCTGAGTTAATTGTATCCACTAAGTTTATGTTATTAGAATCCTTTCATGCTGCATCCATTTTGTGGTATGTGCCTTTGTCCATCTCTGACAGTGTATGACTGTAGGAACCAGTCACAAAAAGGACCAATCAGACAGAAGTTCTGCCAAAGTTCTGTCCTGGATTCCCAAGCAGCTGGAAGTTGAAAAAAGTATATGAGAATATAGAAATTCTGCCTCTTCCTGTGCTGTTGGGAGAGATACAGCAAGAATTTGGTCCTCACGCCACCAACATTTGACCCACAGCATTACAGCTCTTCTCTACCAAAGTTGAATGCTGTCTCTGCAGGGACTGCAGAAAAAAAACATCCATCCTGCCGACGGCCTCTAAATCTAACGCCCTTTGCTGGTCCCATCCGAAGGTTAACTAACTCCTGCAAGGAGGTTGCACACCCCCAGCCTGCTCCATGGCTCTGAATAGTATTTTAGAGAGGAATCTAGCTTGTTTAGCTGGTTCAGCAGCTGAATCAGACTTTGTTCCTTTCATATAGGTTCACTCCTCGCCTCAAACTTCTGCTTCAAAATGAAGGTGTCCAAGTAAACATGTCTCATACTTCAGTATCTAGGGTCTCCCATATGGGTGACCACGTAGAACTACTTTGGGTTATAGTTCCTTGGGTTCTCCGACAAGAACACCTGCACAGGTCATAGCTCTTGGAGCTTCTACAAGGGTTTAAGTTTCTGAAGTTGTTCTGTGGGTACTACTCTCCAGATCTCCACGGCACACCAGTAGTACCAGACTTTTTTCTTGAATTCTCTATTGTGACATCCAGCAAAGTTCTCTGTGGGTTCACAATGAACCAGCATCATCAGGTCTCTAGATTGTTTCCTGTGTCTCGTAATTAAATTTTATCATTAAAAGCATCATCATGCATATTTTAGTCTGAGCCTTGGTCTGTTTCCAACTTTGCAGTTTATTACGGTTTTTAAGCGGTTTCTGAAATCAAATCTTCTGTTAACCCATTGTGAGACATGCACACACAAATATCCATAGAATCTGGTGTTTAGAAGTAAAAAATTCCACTCAGGTCCCCCAGTCTGTCTTTTCGATTATGACTTGCAGGAAATGATTGATTATAGTGAGTAAGGCAGGAGAAAATGATTGTGTTTTGGCTGAAAAGTCTGACTTTTTTATTTATTTTCTATTCTTATTGGAGACATTTAAAATGTGTTTTGTTTTAGATGTAGCTAATTATTAAGAGCAACTGTGTTACAGTTATGCTGATAAAACCATTATTTATTTTTACCAAAGTAAGTAGGCCTATTTCGATATAAAAGATTGTTATATTTTTGTGTGATATCCTGCTTTTTTAAAGCATTTGCACATCTTCACCAGCAGAAAAAATGTGGTCTATGCATATAAGCCTTTTAATAAAATTAAGGTGGTTAATTATTTCACATTTTACATTTAATATAATAATATGTTCCATCAGTCTACCAACAAATACCGTATAGCATCCTGCCTGTATTCAAGTCGGAGTGAGAAACTAAAAACGCGGAATGTTATTCAACGTAATCTCATTAAAATTCACAAGGATTGAAGCTCCGTGAGAGGTTAGATTATTGGCGGGCACGCACGTGGACCCACAAACACACACACTGTCTCACACACACACACTAAGGCACACAAACTTCACAGCTGGTGTGCCTTCCTCTAGCAGAGACTGACAGAAGCAGTGCGACCGCTGTAAGCTGAGTGCGCTCATCTGTCCTCTCCAACACCGGCGCGCCTTTCTCTGTCGGCATACAAACTTTGAAACGGTTTGGAGAGAAATGTGAAAGAAAAACGATTAGAGGGGGAAAATAAAGAAACAAGAAGAAACAGGACAGGGAAGAAAAATCAAGCACGAAAAAAAGCGGTGGAGCTGGGAGAAAGAGGGAGCTATGCCATCTCCCGCCGAGCAGAGCCCTGTCCTCCTCAGTTGTGTGTCGGATCTACAGCATGGTGTCTCTTTCTGGACTCTGGAGCCGCTGCCTCGCCCCGGGGAGAACCCGTCTCCTTTTCATCTCTGTCAGAGTGCTTCTGCTGCTGCTTCTCCTTCTGTTGACCCCCTTCTCGTCTGCCGAGACCTGCTTCCCTCACCCTGCGCCCTGCCACATACTGGCACGGATCGGACACACCGTGCGCATCGGTGCGCTCCTGCCGACCCGGCAGCCGGCGCGGATACAGAACGCGCTCAACCGCGCCCTGGCGAGCATCAGGCACCAGAGCGGCGGGACGGACTCCACCACCGTGTCCTCCCAGCCGGCCCCTCTGCTGCCCTACAACCTGACCCTGGAAATGGTTGCGCGGTCCCCGTCGGGATGGGACCCGGAGTCGCTGTCCCACAGCGCCTGTCAGGACCTGGTGATCAGAGGTGTGACAGCCGTGCTCGCTTTTCCACGCTCCAGGGAGGAGCTGATCCAGGTGGAGTTCCTGTCCTCTTTCCTGGAGATCCCCTTCGTTTCCATCCTGGAGGACACAGAACCACTTGTCACTAAGGTACGATTATATCCAGCAGCATCCTTTAAATATATCACATGGTAATTTTGTTGAATTTGCTTCTAAATAAGCAGCAACCCTTGTCTTAATGTATTTTTTAAGTATTATTATTATTATTACAACACTTGTGACTTAAAACTGGGTTGACAGAAAACAATCTGCCTGATCCTATAGCTGATGGTGGGGATTTTGTTGTCTAAGCATCTGAAAAACTAGTCATATATTCAGACTACCAAGGAGCAATTAAATAGTTTAAGGCAAAGCAATTGTAACGGGGATAATGAAGTTAATTATCCCTGCTGCTAATCTAAAGAATGATTAAAACAATTGTCATGGAACTAAAAAAACAATCAAAATGCTGCACGGTTAATTGCAGAAGTAGTTAGCAGTCTCAGACTCCAATCTCCACCATTAAAATCGCTGTTCTAGAAAAGTCTGATGTTCAGATTTTACTTTGATTTAGCAGTATGGGGGACCTCAAGGCCCAAAAGATGTTTATCTGATAGTGCACAGTTTTAAATGGCAGGTTTTTAAATGCAAATAAAACATATTTCTTTTCTGTCTTAACCTTATTCTTTTTTTTAACACAAATATGATGTGAACCAAAACAGTTGTTGATGGATCTCTGAGGATGTTTCGAAGATGGGTTTTAAACACCAGGATTCAACCATTTGCGAAGGTGATAGATAGCTGTTTTGAGGAGGTGTTGCTTCTGCAGCTCATGCTGTTTTGTTCAATCAGATATTTGTACGTTGTTTATCTGCATGTGTTGCTTTGTTTCTCTGTTTTACTAAAATGTAGTTTGGTAATAAAAAAAGCATGTGTTGTTTCCGTGCACCTATCAGCAGCAAGAGCTGCTTGACAGGAAATGTTTCCAGTGATTTCCATTTCAATCCAAGCGAGCACCCAAATACTTCTGTCACACATGTATGCAAAGATAAAGTATGAAAAAACCCTCACACACAGGAGGCAGGATCTGAAAGAAAAGACAGAACCCACCTTTGGTTGCTGACACAACACACGTGGAAGAAGTTTCTATGGTCAGATGGAACCAAAATTGAACCTGTTTATGATAGATGGAAAACAATATGTGTGGCTAAAAACACTGCAATGCATGGTAAAACAGCTAGCAACATGCTGTGGGGATGTTTTTGTAAGAAAAAAATAAAAGCATGTAAGAATTGATGGAAAGAGACAGGAAGCTAAGTGCAGGGAAATGCAGGAAGAGGGACTTGAGACTGGGGGAACTGTTATGTTAGTATTCATTAGAGCAGTCTGGGCCGCTTGCCTCCTAGTGTTTCCAGCGATATCCGCCTGAATCCGGCCAAACAGCCAGCTGCATCTCTTTTGCACATATATTTTAGTGTATGTACTTTTGCACAGAAGCAAGCTCTAACTTCTAAAAGTGTGTTTGCATGGAAGGGAACATCTAACTTGCAAAGTTCTTCATTTTAGACAAAGACACAAAAAGGTCGACCTAACATGAAAACTCAACCTAGAGGCGACAGAAGGAGGCAATGGTCTGCAGTTTTGCGGTAGAAGTAGGGCTGAAACAATTAATCAGATTAATCCTGATTAATTGATTATTGAAGTAATCGTCAACTAATTCATTAATTGATTAATTTTTAATTGGAGTATAGAGACTAAAATATGTCTTTAGCTGACAGAAAAATCCACTTAGAGCAGTAATAATATTGAAATTGTAAAAAAAAAAATGTATAAACATTTTGCATTTCAGATAAAGAATTGTTTTCGTCTGTCAATATCCTCTATGTAGAACTCCTCAGGAGGTAAAGTTTTGGTTTAACCTGGTTTAATTTCGTAAAAAAAAATCTTCTTTAAGGAACCTTTGTCTTTCTGTATATTAATTGATAAATCGAAAAAATAATCAACATATTAATCAATTTGTAAATTAATAGTTAGCCGTAGCCCTAGTTGGAAGGCTTCTCTGAGCCATGCATTCTTCTCAACATTGTAAGGGTTATTTAATGTCCACAGAGCAAACATAAGTAAGAGGCCAAACTACTTGACGAATAGCTTGAAAATGCAAAGAGATAAGCAAGCATGAGAAGGAGGAAAAAGAAGATATCAGAACAGGGTTTCTTTCTTTTTTTTTTTTAGCTGTGGGAGGCTAAAAGAATAGACTTGTGCCAACCAGGCCAGCAAGAGAAAAAAAGAACATTCCACTGTGCTCTGATGGCTCCACTTTTAAATATTTTCAGCTATTTTTGTATTTCAAGTATGATGCTTAAAATTGATCCTTGTTTCTTGTCTGATTTTTGGTTAATAGAAGTCTTTTTGCCTCTCATCAAATTTCTGAGTTCTTCAGTTCACATCTGAAGCTTAAAGTTTCATCTTTTCCATTTGTTCATCTTATTTGAATGACTATATTGTATGTGTTTAAAATCATATGAAAATGGTGGTTGTTTTAAGAATGTTGTAGTTAAACTCGAAAAACACCACCCATTGATGTACTGCTTCTATGAACTAAATCCAAACTAAAATCCAAGAACATAGCTGAGTAACAAAATGTGGATTTTAACTTCAGGATTTGACCCAAAAAAAACTAAATACAGAGGAAATCTGTAAGTCTTGTTTTTAATTATTAAGGTAGTTTATATTACAGATGTTGAATGGAGCTTTTTACTTTTATTAGTAAAAGTCATGGCAGAAAAGCAACTTTAGATGACTCTGACAAGGGCTAGTATGAGATTTCCCCTTAGTGAAAACCTGAGAAAAAAAATGTTGAGCAAAATTGCAATTGTGATGGGTAGGACATATCGAGCTATTATTCATTTAGCAACAAAAATATTTTTTTAACATCAGAGTTCGAACTTGAAATATTTTGCAGTGCTGAAGTAAAAGCTATTAAACCTTTGGTAAAGCCTAATACAAGTAGGCCTTTGCTTAGTTTAAAGATAGAACCTGAAGTATTTGAGCCACATTTGGGTTGCATTAAAGTGTGATGTACTAGCTTAAATGTCACACCCTCAATTATACATGCATCTGACAAAGATGAAGCAAATAGTGACAAGAAAAACAATGATCTTTAGAAGCTTAAGTGGAACAAATCTGTTTATAATCTTCAAATCTTTACAACAGATTGTTTTTTGATTGGAAAAAATGTGACTTACTTTTGGCTCAAGTAAAGTGGCATCTTATAAAGTTTGGACTCAGTCTTTAGTTGACGTGAAACAATTATCTTTATCTGACTGCTGAATCATGCAATATTTGGTATTTCTTCTTCCCTCTGGTTTTTAGTGGATTGGCAGCAGTTGTATGGATTTCTAAGGGACCCACAGGAAGCCATACAACTATTGTGGTTCTTTGGAAATGATATAGTCATGTGTGGAATGCCCCAAGTTTCAGTCCTATTCTGTTTGATGTTAACAAGCTCCCATTATCTTATATTATTAAAAAATAATACGATTAGTTATAACTATGCAGATGACACACAACTGTTGTAGGATCGTAATTTTCCATTTTACCTTCTTTTGTTCTTGCATTTCAAAATGACGAACAGGAGACTTGTTTTAACGCGTTATGACGGCTTGTTTGCAACGCCAACGGTAAAACAATGGTGTAGCTCCGCCGTTCTACTTTATTTTTTTACATGTGTGTTTCCATGACAACATGAACTTCCTGCCCACACTAAGGAAGCCTAGATTATTGGCAACATATGTCTAACTCAAAGTTTACTAATAAACAAACAAATAAGAACAGAAATATATCCTAAACTTAGAATAATAAATTCAACTTATACTTCACATAAATGAGGCTTACAACAGTATATCATGTTTTAAGCAGGTTTGGGGGATGGTGGGGCAGGAGCATATCCAAGCACTGAACAGATGTTTGGAAAAATGTTTCACATAAGAAGGAACAATCCAGAGTCAGCATACAGCTTGAGGTGATACATTTAGAAACCTGTAGTCTGGTGTAAAAATGTAGTAATTGACTCAGGCCTGAACATTCAGAGACACAAAAAACACTGTTATTATTTTTGCTTTCTACCACCTAGAGAACATTTCCAGAATTAAATAACTAATATCACAAAAATAATCTAGAGAAACTCATCCATGAATTTGTCTTCAGTCGTATTGATTTCTGCAACTAACAGTATCTTAATCAGACAGCTGCAGCTAATCCAAAACGCTGCTACTCGTGTCCTCACTAAGACTAGAAAATTAGAACACATCACCCTAGTTTTAAACTCCTTACAATGGCTACCTGTAGCTCAGATAACAGACCTTAAAATACTTCTATTAGTTTATAAATCACTGAACAGTTCAGCACAACAGTACATGAAATGTTTAATTGTATCCCTAGAATCACAGTGAAACATTGAAAAGCAGCTTTCAGTTTTTTTGCACCTTTAATCTGGAACAAACTCTAAGAGAACTGCAAAACGAACTCCTTCATATGAAGGCTAAAGTTATTTGAGTAGTAGCCAACTAACATATCCGGTAAAGAGCTGCTCTGGAAAAATTATGTTAGTACACATTGACCATCTTCCTGATTGTGTGTTGCTGGTTAATGATTCTTATGATTTTGTGTTTTGATTATACAAAGCACTTTGAAGTGCCTTACTGCTGAAATTTGTTTTACACATTTTTTTTTCCTGCTTATCTACTTAATGTGGGATAGAAATTGAGTCACAAATATTTTTTGTTATTTCTATGGTATTTGGTTTGATAACAGCAAAAGTAATCATATGAAATACTTACAAATAAAATCATTCTAGCTATAATAAAGACAACATAATATTTCTACAATATTACAATAATATCACCAAATATTGTGATCAAAATTTTAGCTGCAGTACAAACCATTTTTCTCCCTTTTTGGTTTATTTTTCACAATTTTTTTCACAGTCCTCTTGAGCTTTCACATCTCTTTTACTAAAATCTTAAGCAATTAAAAGACAAAATAAGTCATTTTAATTGCCAACATATATTATTGGCAAGCAGAGTTGGAATGGGTTGCACTTGAAATATTGT